AGGCCTCAGAAGGAGAAATTTTTTAAAAATCCACAGAGAGAAGAGTCTAAAAACTCCTGGAAGAAAAATTTCCTAAATGTATAAAAGATGAAAAGATAACTATCCTGGAAGCTGAGAAAACTCCTATCAGGATGTATCCCCAAAGAAAAAGTGTGACATTGTATTCAAACTCTCCAATATCAAAGACTAAGAGTGAATATATAGTCACATACAAAGGGGCAATTAAAATAAATTTAGATTCTCAACCAACAGTCTTGTATCTAGCAAAATGTACCACTCAAATATGAGGGAAAAATAAAAGTAGTGCCAGACAAGGAGAAATTAAAGGAATTTATAAAAATAAGACTACCACTACAAAAAATATTTAATGGATTACTACGGACAAAGAAATCAATATCATCAGCAAACCTGAGAACAATATATGATAAATCCACACAAAAACCAACACAATAAAAACAGTATCCAGAACGGCATTAAAAATATAGGAAGAACAAAGAAACTAATTACACCCCCACACCCCAAAATCAAAATATCACCAATAAACCCATACATATCAATAACCTCACTGAACATAAACAGATAAATGCACCAATCAAGAGACCGAGAGTAGCAGACTAGAATAACAATTATGCATCTCTCAGGGCCTGCTCCCTTCCTCAGAAGGTTGCTGTGGATTTCAACAATATTAGTCTTAGTCTCTGCAATAAACATTTAAGTGGCTAAACTATTCAGGAGCTTTGGGGAACTTACTACCTGAAAGAATTCTATCGTATCCTTTAATGCCCAACTCAAAGGTTTTGCAAAATGTCTCTCAAATTTCTGAGAAATTTACCCAAATCTGCCATTTACTGTCATTCTTTTGATTTTCATAGCACAAAGCATTACCTCTATAACACGGCTGATTCTGCTATATATTTTTAACTTTTAAAGATTTTTTTATCTTAAAGATAGATGAACAAAAATTTAAACTTCTTAAAATAATTTATGTAGTCATCTACTTCTATCTCTGCCTCCTGGATTTTGAACTCCCCGAGGTCCCAGAGATTGTGTGCAGGTTTTCATATAGGTTTTCACATACACTGATCATTACCCGTGCCCTCCAAAAAGTTTATAAACTAATGGAGTTTCAGGACAATCTAAAATAGATACATGTGAGATGAGTAGAAACACAGAAAGCAAATATAGTATATTAAACTAGCTTCAAAGACTTTTACAAATATTATTAGATTAGTTCATAGCCTCCCAAACATGTAATTTTTCGGCACACCCGACACTTAAACTTTTGTAATATAAAGCACATAATCCAGGATAAAGCGTAGGTATCTGCTTTTGCAGACCCTCGAATCATTCCAGCGCCATCCATCCCCACCCCAAGAGGTGATATCACCCACTTTGGGAAACACTAGGTCACTTCCTAGGCTGTGGGCTTTTCGAAGTACGGAATTACATTTTATCCCATCTCTCTTCCAGGTCTTCTGCTGCCCAAAGCACAATGCCTAACAAATGGTGTGTGCACAAAAAATGTGGATGAATGGTCTCACCTTTAAATATGCCTTTTATAAGTGGCGCTACTGCTGTATTGAAGACTTCTTCCTGCTCGGTAGCAGGATCAAACACAAAGTCGTAGGTAAAGGATTTATCAGTACCAACCACCACCTAAAAGCAAAGGAACAAGGTATAAAGTGGGAACAACACGGCTTGACCACACCTCCCATTGCCATTTGGCGCCAGTTGTTCAAAGGCAGGCCCAGGACCCCGTGACAACGCACCTGTGGCTCCCCTGGTATGAAGGACAGGCACGTCTGACAGCCCTCGCTAATTTCTTTGGGGACCAGTGGGCGACATCGCAGTGCCACTCGTACAGGTATTCCCTTCACGTCTTCCTTCATGGTCCTCTCGCAGCACTCCGCAGAAAGAGAGGCAGAAGAAGCCTGATCAATCCGCCGCGGGGAGGGGGCCGTCCGCCTCCGCTTAGGGCCGTCTCGGAGAGCGCAGCGAATTTAGGAACACGGCGGCCCCGGAGGCCGCCAGGCGACTGTCTTCCGGACTGGGCTGCACCGGTCAGCCTGGGAACCCCACAATCTGAAGAGGGCGAAGTGGAGTCTGCAAGGGAAAGCAAACGAGCCCCAAACGGAGAGGGCGCCCACGGACCCAGGTGCTGGGAAAAGGCAGCTCCGGAACCAAGATGTGCCCACGTCACTCACCAAACGCAAGGTCCCCCTCTCGGACTCCTGCCGCCGGTCCCCACCAGCGCTTTAACCGCCAAGTTTCAAACTGGCCCCAGAGGCGCCAGCCAATCGGGACGCACACACCCTCGGGCGGGGCGCGTACGTCAGCGCCCATCCGGAAGGGAAGGTCGGCGGGCGCCCTGCTTCTGCTTCCGACCCGTGCGCACATCCGCCGCCGCTTGCCTGCTGCAGTAGCAACCGGGAGTGCCGTGCTGGTGTCGCCGAACCACCGGTGAGCTCCCGCCATTACTGATAGGGACTCCGAGCCCCTGTGGATAGAATCCCTTGGATTCAGGAAGCGGGCACAAATGTTTTAATGTGACCCGATTCCCTCCTCTCTCAGATGAAGAAGCTCATATCTACTTTGTAGGGGATCCTTTGTGTGCGAGGTCGTCAGAATCAACTGGAAAGCAGTGGATTTGGTTTGGTGTGATTTTTCTACCAAGGCACTGCCAGGTTGCTTGGCATCTAGCAGGGGGTTAGAAAAGTCAATAATTGTCTTAAGTCTCTTGTCTAACTTCTCTCCCCTAATCTTAACACCTAGATTTGGGCAGAGCCCATAAACTGACAATTGCGGTATGCGTTGAGGGGCTCTCTGAAACTTCCTGTGATTCGGCGGCCCCTTTTGAATCCCACTTAGGTTTGCTTTGATTCACCTTTCCATTCCAGGGCGTTGCCGGAAATGGACAGCCGGATTCCTTATGATGACTACCCGGTGGTTTTCCTGCCTGCCTATGAGAACCCGCCAGCGTGGATCCCTCCTCATGAGGTGGGAATCCTATGTATGGCTGAGTAAGAATATTTTTTCCCCAGGGGTATGAGATGAGGCATGAAATATATAATGGTAGAGCTTGAGAGCTGATAAAAGAGTCAGTATTTCTTTACTTTTGGTGGAGTCTGGGGGCCCAGAAGCGTAATTTTCAGCAATTAGGCCCATTGAAAATTGTCTTTGGAAGCTTCCTGTCAGAGCCCATTCACACAGTGTGCATCACATTGTGGGAATTCAGAGCTCTGTCTTTTCCATCTATAAATGATTAGAATGAGAAACTGCAGGCCTGAAGTCACTTCTCCACCCTATTATCTACTCATTTTGGACAGTGTTATCTTTTCTACTTTAACTAAACCCGTAACTTTACCTTTTCCTGACAGCAAGGTGATGCATTAGTATTCCACATGAAGAGTATGAAATCATAGGACTGATAGATCTCTGGGGTTACTATGTTTTACAGAGGGTATACCACCCAGACTACAACAATGAGCTGACCCAGTTTTTGCCTCGAATTATCACATTAAAGAAGCCTCCTGGAGCTCAGGTGAGATTGTGTAACAGCTGCCTCATATCCCAGGCTAGAGCGGTCCATATGAAGGGATTTTTTTTTAAGTTTTTAGAAAATGGAATGAAACAATAATGGAATATATCCACCAACTTTTTGAAGCTCCCTCGTAGTATGAACATAGACCCAGAGGTTGGCCATGGTTTGAGGGGAGGGGGGTGTAAAGAAAGCAGGAGGTAAGAAAACTTCCTCTGGTTCGCTGGAAAACTGAGACGCCACTTCTATAACTTCTGACTACCCTTTGTGGGGGACACACAAGCCAGGGTGTAGTACAGAGATGCTTGCTACTAGTTGTGCTTGTGGTTTCTATTGAACCCCTATTTTACGCTCTTGTCTTACAGTTGGGATTTAACATCCGAGGAGGAAAGGCATCCCAGCTAGGCATCTTCATCTCCAAGGTGTGTGTTCCTAGTATGGATAGCTAGTCCCTTTGTTATCAGATTGCAAAACCCTGATATCCCTAGGCCTTGGAGAAGGATTAGTTTGTGAGCTCATAAACCAAAAGCCAAACCCGATGCCACTGAGTCAGTTCCTATAGGACAGAGTAGAACTACCCCATAGGATTTCCATGGCTGTAAATCTTTATGGAAGCAGACTGCCACATATTTCTCCCACAGACCAAACTGCTGATTCGACTTACAGTTAGCCACTGAGTGCTAAACCCAATGCCACCAGAGCTCTATAAAAGGGATATCCTCTTTCCAACTTAAAGTTTTCCATATGGCAAGCTATTTGTCTCCACACACACAAACTCCAGATACTAGCTCCTTATATTTGAACAGTACTTAATTTCATTTACAGTATTCTGACAGAATCTGTCAATTCTCCATAACAACAGGTGATTCCTGACTCTGATGCACATCGAGCAGGACTTCAGGAAGGAGACCAAGTTTTAGCTGTGAATGATGTGGATTTCCAAGACATTGAACACAGCAAGGTGAGCATAGCACTTAAGCTGTGATGACACAGGCAGTCATAACAAGTAGAACAAGCTATACAGGATTGGCCAAGGTATAACTTCACGTGAATGCATCTCCAGAGGAAGTATACCAGTGGGAATCAGCTGTTAGTGATCTAGAATATATTTGAATGGCAAATTGCCCCTGTTTGGGTTCTATCTGGGCCTTATCTTTTCATTTGTATAAGCCAGCAGTTGTCAACCTGTGGGTCACGACCCCTTTAGGGGTCGAACGACCCTTTCACAGGGGTCACCCAATTCATAGCAGTAGCAAAATTACAGTTATGAAGTAGCAACAAAAATAACTTTTTGAAATTAAAAAACCAGCCCAGGAAGATTAAAATGGACATTCCCTGGTGCTACCCAAGCCTCTCAATAAAGAAACAATTCCACAACAAAAAAAATAACTTTATGGTTGGGGGTCACCACAACATGAGAAACTGTATTAAAGCTTTGCAGCATTAGGAAGGTTGAGACACTGGTATAAGCTATTGTGTTCCTTCTAGGCTGTTGAAATCCTGAAAACAGCCCGTGAAATAAGCATGCGTGTACGCTTCTTTCCGTACAGTAAGTAGTACACTTTTATTACTTAACCTGGCAGGGCCCTGTGTAGAAACTTTAAATACTGATTACTAGAACATCCCACAATAGGAATTGGAAGCTCAGGCCTAAAATTAACCTGCATTGTTCTTCCTTTTCTTTCTTTTTCCCCCCAGATTATCATCGCCAAAAAGAGAGGACTGTGCACTAGAGAGTTGCAACCCACAACCTTCCACGTAGAATCTACCTGGACAAGCTGGCTAGGCCCCAAGGAAGCTCAACTCTCAGCCCTTTCTAGCATAGTGGAGTGAGAGGTTAGGGGAAGCCAACAGCATTACCCAAATTAGTGACCTCGTTTTCTAGGTAAGCTTCATTCTCTGAAAGAGAAAGAACGGTGTTTTTAAAAATAACCTAGCGTGTGTGGAACCCTGATAAAAATAAACCCTGGCATTTATTGAATACCATGTGCTAGGCACTTAAACCCAACATTTCAATGAGAGTTTAGAAATGAGTAGAAAAAAGAATCCTGGGTGTCTTCCATTTAATCTGACTGACTATTATCTCATCCTTGTACTAGTTCTTGCACTATACACTTCAGACTCCAGTGGGATCCTGATTTTCCTCTTTCCTAGAGTCTCCCAAAAAAGAAGGAAAATAAATGCTGAGAAAACATTGGTGTGATTTCTGAATGATACTGATTGGGTGTAAAAATTCTTTCAAAGAGAGGCCACTGGAAGGAACAGAGCAATCTTATACTCGCTTCTCAACTATCTCTGTCTGGTGGCCAGAACATAGTGAGGCCCAGAAACCTTGATAAATGGTATAAACCAGGGGATACTAGTGTTTCTTACCCCATTGGGTGGGGGAGGGGCTGTTTTAGTACAACGATGTTTTCTCTTTTTCCTGAATTCTTCTGATCTGGAGTATAAGGGAGGAGCTTGAATACATTTATTTTTAGAGGCAGCAGTAAAAAAATTGGTTCCCAATTTCAAACTTGTAGGTTCTTATTAGGAGTCCTGGGGGCCTAATGGGTTATCAATTAAGCTGTTAACTGCAAGGAGAGTAGATTGAAACTACCAGGCATTCTGCAGGAGAAAGATGAGGCTTTCTACTCAGAGTTAAGGCCGCAGAAATCCACAGGGGCAGTTCGACCTTTCCGGTAGCATCACTGTTGTTCAGAATCGACTCTAAGGCACTGAGTGTGCAGTTTAGGGTGACATTATTATTCCTTGACTGCGAACTACCTATTTTCTGTAGCCCCGTCCTCAAATAACCTGCCATGTTCTTAGAGCTTTAGTTATCAAGCCACTAGGTTCCAGGCCACAGCACATGCCATCTTCATTGGCTTGTTCAAAATACCCATTTAAAATTGAAGTTTTTCTAGTAAGATAGGGGGGGGGGTTAAAAATAAGGAAAGACTCCCCAATAAAATAAATAAATAAGCTCTTCTCCTGGATAGTGATACTATTAGTCTGAGGTAGGGCTTGGAAATTAGAATTTTAAAATATACAACTAAGGCATGTCTTCAAATAATGGTAGATATAGTTGTAAACCATGTAACATCTCTAATGGAAAGATTTGGCTCTCCCTATAAATCCCCGAGCTCGGCTACGGTGCCTTTCCTAGAGGCTTAGTGTCATTTTTGGATAGCAACAGCTATTGTGAACAGAACTGGAGATAGTTAATTTAGCTGTCTGTACTTCCTGAGCAGGAGAAAAATGAAGGTCTCTTCTCCCAGAAAGAGTTGAAGTCTTGGCCCACAGAGGCAATTCTACTCTGTCCTATAAGGTTCCTATGAGTCAGAATCACCTCAATGGCAGTGAGTTTGGTATGGATGCTTCCTGAGAAATCCGTTCTGTTCCTGTTCTATCAGTTCCCCACCCTCTTCCCCCATGGCCATCTGAGAGAAAACAAAACAAAAAAAAGGAGTAGAGGTTTAGGCACTTCCAAAGTTACATGGGCTCAGATTCTCTTCCTTTGGTAGAAGTGATTGATTTGAAAGGAAGGGCACTAGCTACACACTGGAATAACTTGTGGGTTAGGGTTAGAATAGTGAAACAAAAGGCAAAAAAAAAAGATTAGATTAAAAGGATGGGATAATTCAGGGCCTTTGAGTTGTATGATGATGAGATGAATCTTGGCAGCGCCCCAGGATGGAGCAAATGAAAATTATGCAAAAAAGTAAGTGGTTAGTAGGTAGAGGACAGTAGCGATATCATAGAGAGAGGTATTTGTTTTCCATGTAACTAGTTTTGGTGCTGGTCTCAAACATATTGAGGTCTGAACAAATGAGCAATGATGAAAAAGGCCAAATAGTGGCAGTAGACCCCTTCTGAATCAGAGTTGCTGATAGCTTCTCAGGTATGAAGATGATTCTCTAAGATTAAGACCTAAGACCTTGAACCCGTGATCCTTCTAATCCTCTTCCCCAAGTAAATAGAGCACAGTAGATTTTCCAGAGAGATGCAGCTATGGGTATGCAAAGGTTCTAGTTTTACCTTACCTTTTGTTCAGCTCAATCTTGTTTTGCACTAACATGATGGCATCATCTTTTTGTTTGTTTTAGAGGCATTTAGAGAACTGAAAAACAATTAGATGGCATTCAGAAGCAGTGTAAAATGGAAAGTAATCAAACCAATTACTTTATAATGTATTCCTCCTTTACAATTGAAGCAAAAAGTCTGCTTTAAGGGAAAAGTCAGAAAAAATAGGCCATTATATATTTTTTCTTCTAGAATAACAAACCGCTATAAAAATTATAATGAGGAATTGGATGTTGGCTTGCATATATTCATGCTTAAGGACAATAGGCTGCCTTCTTGAGTTTTGCTTACAAGTTCCAGTGCTGGAACTAATTCAGATTCCCCTCTTGTCTTCAGCAGAGAGTAGCCCTGGAAAGCTGATGTTTTGCTCTGCTTGCTTGTTTTAGTCTGTAGGTTGTATACTCTGGCGTATGCCTGATGGTCAGGCTTTAACTTCAGGAGTTGAACTATAGATGCAATCTGAATTCTCTGAAACAATTTCTAGCTCCTCTGCTGTTTCTGGAAAACTGATCTTCGGCTTCACCAGCTCACCACTCTCTTCAGGAAGCACACGTTTCCAAAGGCCATGCTTTCCCTACAACATTTTGCCATAGTCCCAATGTTCCATCTCCAAAACCACTGACATAGAGCTCTCCATCCGGACTAAATCTCACACAGTGAATAGGACCGCAGTGTCCCTTGTAGGATCCTAATTCTTCACTATTATAAGCATACTTAGAAAGTTTAAAATCTTCGCCACTTGCAACAACAGATTCTCAGGATGAAAAGATGCAGAATTGATGGTTGCAGGGACATCAGAAGACTTCATTGGATCCAAATGTACTGCACTATGACAAGCAATAGATTGTCCACGCGTCGTTACCATGAGCTTTCCCTCAGGAATATACGCCATACTGCTAACAGACATATTAAAATTTAGAGATTTTACTTTTGTCTTAATAGTATGATCCCAAAGGTGAACAGCTTTACCATCAGCTGGAAGAATTTGTTAATCTCACTGCACCATATAGCAGTGGTTCTCAACCTTCCTATGCTGTGGCCCATTAATACAGTTCCTCATGTTGTGGTGACACACCAACCTTAAGATTATTTTAATTGCTAATTCATAATTGTAATTTTGCTACTGTTATGAATCGGGTGACCCCTGTGAAAGGGTCGTTCGACCCCCAAAGAGGTTGCAACCCACAGGTTGAGAGCCGCTACCATGGAGCCTTTTTAATACCAGAAATGTGGCCACTGATTTCCTTAGGCTCTGCTTCAGGTTTGTTCAAGTCATATATGCGTAAAAGTTTATCTTGTCCTCCAGTTAACAAATAAGTACTATCCTGAGTAAAATCCACACTCTTGACTTGACAATGTGTTTATGGGCCAGGGTCATCAGTTCATCCCCCGAGACAGCATCCCACACTGGCTATAAAATATGCAGTTGCTGTAGTGGCTTTAGTAGCATCCTTATTCAATGTTGCACCCTAAATAGCTCACTTATGACCCCAAAATGTACCGATCCAGTCTCCCCTATCTCCCTGACGTAGCATAAGCTCTGATTAAGAAATAGCCATAAGGCATGATGTTACTGAAGGCCAAATCCACCACGAGCCACTTGTGGTCAGAGCAGGTGAGCAGTATCTGCCTCAGAGCCATGGCGGAGTGTGTGATCCCCCTGCAGAGCTGAGGATTGAAGTGTTTTCTCAGCTGTGATGCCTCTGGCTCCTCCAGGCTTCCCCCTAGGCATTGGGACTTGGCCAGGAACCAGGAAAAAGGAGGCCAAACTGATGGTCAGAAGGGGTCAGGGAGCATACCACCTAGGGGGGCGATAGCCACCGAGGGAGGGAAAGGAAGGGAGGGGATACATTCACCTGTCCACCAGCCACACAGACATCACCTTTTTATGTCTGTACATTTACTTATCTGTTCCCTTGAAAGAACTCACCTGTAAGAGAGTTAATATTGCAGAATTAAAACATTTAGTAAAGGTTTAGAAATGATGTACATGCCCATCCTCTGCTAGTCTTAACCAACCTACCTATTACTTGGCTCATAGTCTCCTTTCAAATAAAACATCATATAGCACCCACTTGTGACATAAACAACCACTGCAGTAGTTAAATCATGAATGTAGCTAGGAAGTAGGCCGCATAGGCATTCCTAGCCATATGTGTCTCATAGCTGCAGCTGAACTTGTGTGTAACAAATGTTTAGAAGTGGGGAAAAGAAAGAAACTAGCCCTTAAAGTACTATAACTTAATTGAGCAGAAAAGAGAGGCAAGGGGACTGGGTCACTGGAGAGGGGGTGCCATAGCCCCAAACTAAGTGACCTAGAGTCCTAGGACAAATCTTTATCAGTGTGCTGTTTTGATAAGGAAGACCCTATAGAAGCAGATTTAAGGATTGAATAATAGCATATTGTGTATGTTATAGTTGGAGATTGAAGAGAGAACAAGAAATATTACAGGGCTTGGTTATTTGGGGAGACTTTATCCAGGTAATCTGGGATAGTGCTACACTACCATGATGAATAGGCCAAGGAGGTTGAGATATAAAGTTAATAGTATGGAAGTTAACATTAACTATTCTATTCTTCAAGTACATGGTCTTAAGTCAATTCCAATGGTTATCTGCAAAAGAGGGTCAGATATTTACTATGTACTCTATCCCCAATACTAAATAGCTTTTGAAGAATGGGACAGGGCCATAAGGAGGTTGCTCTGGCCCAAATTGCCAGCCACTACAATAGGTAACTGTCCTCAAAAGGAAATTGACTTCTGTTCCTTGCTACCACATCTCCTGACCCCCAAAGTCCAAGGCAGACCCCCCACTGCTATGTGCTCCAGGCATAGAGTTTGGATTTGTACAAGGCAGGCTGGTGTTCTGGTCTTTCCTTGGTTTCCAGGGATCAAAGGCATATATCAGTGCCTGCTGTAGGCCTTTAGATTTGTGAACGGTTCCAAGCTCTCAGCTCTCTACTCCCTACTTCATGCCAGTCTTATGACTAACTGCTGTTGGGCACCATTAGCTTTGCACCCAGGCCCCCCAGCATATGAGTGACAGTCATGCCCTCTGGGGCCCTCATAACTCCTTCAGCTTCCACAGTAATAGGAGAGGGTGACTGCCTAGGCTTCAGAGAGAAAATGGAAGGGCCATGGAGGGTGAGTATACCAAAAAGGATAAGCTTGGTGCAGCGAAGGGAAAAGCACATGCTGCAGTGTAATCTAATAACTGATTGGGGATAGGAGGGGCATGACACTGCAATTTAAGTAATTCCAATACCCTCCTGGAAAAGGGACTATCAAAGAAAATTCCAAGTATATCTATACACACTTTACTTATTAAGAATGTAACCAAAAATAGACACTGAAATCTTATTCCCCACCCCTCAGCTGCCAAAGTCTCTTGGCTGTCTTCATCAGACTTCTACCACATAGACTCCTGGATGACAAGCTTAGCTTCCTGGATGAAGTTCTTAGAGCTTGCAAATGCAGCAGAGGAGAATAGATGATTAAGAACCCCTTTCTAGGCAACCTCCACAACTATACTCCCTTCCCCTTCTTTGATTCTAGAGAAATGATCACCCCTTTCTGCTTCCCAGACCACAAGATTGCTCCCCACAAGAGGTAATGTGCTTTCTCCACCTCCATGAACCATACTAGTTTGTTTCCCTTCATTACCTCCTAAATTTTCCAACACAAAATACTCCTGAGAGCATTCAAAGGGAAATAAGAGTGGAAGGTGAGAAAAAAGGAAAGGAATGAAGCAGAAGAAGGCATAAGAGGGACAGAAGGAAAAGGAAAATAAATAGAAGGAATAGAGGGATATTACCTTAATAAGGGTTCTTGCCCTGGAAGAAAAGTGGGCTCAGGGAGACGTCGGACAGGGAAAGATAGGACAAAATAATAATTTATAAATTATCAAGGGTTCATAAGGGAGGGGGGAAGCGGGGAGGGAGGGGTAAAAATGAGGACCTGATGCCAGGGGCTTAAGTGGAGAGCAAATGTCTTGAGAATGATGGGGGTAATGAATGTACAAATGTGCTTTACACAATTGATGTATGTATGGATTGTGATGAATTGTATGAGCCCCTAATAAAATGATTTTTTAAAAATTTTTAATTAACAAAACTAAAATTAAAAAGAATCTTATTGTTCTGTTTGCTCCCTGTAGGTCAACAACTGTTTCCCTTGGTTATCCTGAAACCTTAAGTAATATAAAACATCTATATGTGACTCCCCAAAGTGTAAAATTCCAAAGTAAAAGATATATTCTATGTGTTGTGATTTCAAACAGGACACCACCAAGATAGTCTCCCTGCTGTTACTTAGGAGTTAATAAGTTGGCTCAGTTCTTCCAGGGCAAGAACCCTTGTTAGAGCCTTTGGACGAGAGTGAGGGCAGATTACTATGTAGTAAGGGAAGCAATCTCAATAGCTTCAGGTAGCCAAGAGTGAGTCTAGATCAAGCCAATGGGCAAGGATAGGAGATAGTCACAAATGAAGAGGACAGGTGTAGTCACTAGCTACCTGAGTCACTTCTAACATACAGCAACTCTATGACAGAAAGGAACTGCCTTAGACTATAATCTTTATTGGGAGAAAACTACCAGCTCTTTTCTCCTGAGGAGTAGCTGGTGGGTTAGAACTGCCAGCCTTTCAGTTAGTGATTTAAGGTATAAAGCAAGCAAACAAACAAACAGATTTACTGAGCTGTTTTGCAGCAGGTTTGCTGCTAAAACACAAGTGTTGGTACAAATCTAAGCCAAATGGGAAAGGAAAAGGCCTTCATCTGCATCATCCTCATTAGACACGCAATTTTGTGCAAGTCCACCACCATCTGAGCTACAAATTTGGAACCGAAAAAAAGAATATTTGAGGAAGAATCTGCTGAGATGGGAAAGGGTTCTTTCAAGTATGCCTGGGCCTTGGATAAACTGAAAGCTGAGCGGGAGTGTGGTATCTCCCTCCTGGAATTTTGAGACCAGCAGGTACTAACTACATGACCATCACTGACGCTCAGGATATAGAACTTTTATCAAAAGAGTGATTACGTGACCATCACAGACTGGCTGTGCTGTCCTGATCTTGGTGAATTTGATGGCAACATCTCCAAGAAAAAGAACCCCTGTTGGGTAAACGCCCTTCTAAATTTCAATTTATAAGATGAACGTTTCAAACCCACCAGTTGCCCTGGGGAGAAAGATGAGGCTATCTCTTCCCACAAAGATTTAGAGCTTTGGAAATCCTATATAAAGGCACTGTGAATCTGGATTGACTCTGTGGCGGTGGGTTTTTGGGGTGTCCCCAATAATGGACAGGCACAAAAACATGCTCTTCTGGCTTAAACATGCCCTTCTGGTTGTGAAACAACTAATTTTTGGTATTAACCAAGTGGATTCTACTGAGCTGCTGTACACCCAGAAGAGAGATGAGGAAATGCGTGAGGTAGTCTGCACCTACATTAAGAAAAGATGAGTTAACCAGGGTGCAGTTAAGCACCGATGAAACACACAATATTGCTCTGGTTCCTTAAGACTTCCTCACTCCCCACTATCATGACCCCAGTGCTGCTTCTCAATTCAGACCAATGGGAGCATGTACACAGGTATAGATAAGAGATGGGAACTCACGATGAATCCAGGATCAGGAGTGGGAATAACGATACCAGAAGGGTAGGAGGAAATGGGGGAGAGGAGGGGAGGAAAGGGGAACCAATCATAATGATGAACACATACCCCTTCCAGGGGGGAGAACAATAGAAAACATGGGGGAAGGGAAACAGCGATTGGTGTGAGATATGAAAATAATAATAATTTGTAATCTATCAAGGGGTCAGGAGGGGGGAGGGAGGGAAAAAAGAGGAGCTGAATAGACAGTAAATATCTAGAAAAGAATGATGGCAACATATATACAAATATGCCTGATGCATTCGATGTATGGATTGTAATACGGGTTGTAAGAGCCCCCAATAAAATGATCTTTTAGTAAAAGGAAATAGAGGAAAGAACTAGGAGGCACATCGGCGTTTATAAAGGTCTAAATATAGGCATATACATATGTAAAAATATTTATATATGAGGATGGGGAAATAGAGCTATGTGCATATATTTATAGGTTTAATATTAAGATAGCAGATGGATATTGGGCCTCCACTCAAGTACTCCCTCAATGCAAGAACACTTGTTCTATTAAACCGGCATTCCATGATGCTCACCTTCCCGACACGATCGCCAAGGACAAAGCGGGTGAATAAGCAAATGTGGTGAAGAAAGCTGCTGGTGCCCAGCTATCAAAGGATATAGCATCTGGGGTCTTAAAGGCTTGAAGATAAACAAGCGGCAAAGCCCACATGGAAGAAACACACCAGCCTGTGTGATCTCGGGGTGTCAAAGGGATCAGGTAACAAAAAATCTTATCATTGTGAATGATGGGGAGTGCAGATTGGGGACCCAAGGTCCATCTATAGGCAACTGGACATCCCATTACAGAAGGATGGAGGGGAGGAGATGATCCAGTCAGTGTGCAGTGTAGCAATGATGAAACATACAACTTTCCTCTAGTTCTTCAATGCCCCCCCCCACTATCATGATCCCAATTCTACCTTACAAATATGACTAGACCAGAGGATGTACACTGGTTCAGATAGGAATTTGAAACACAGGGAATCCAGGACAGATGAACCCCTCAGGACCAGTGGTGAGAGTGGCAATACCAGGAGGGTGGAGGGAAGGTTGGGTAGAAAGGGGGAACCTATTACAAGGATCTACATATAATCCCCTCCCTGGGGATGGACAACAGAAAAGTGGGTGAAGGGAGACATCAGACAGTGTAAGACATGAAAAAAATTTATAAATATCCAGGGTTCGTGAGGGAGGGAGGTTGGGGAGGGAGGTGATAAAATGAGCTGATACCAAAGGCTCAAGCAGAAAGCAAATGTGTTGAGAATGATGATGGCAACAAATGCACAAATGTGCTTGACATAATGGATGTACGTATGGATTGTGATAAGAGTTGTACAAGCCCCCAATAAAATGATTTTTTAAAAATTATCTTTTCGGCAGTGTGAAGAAGAGGCGAGAACGACCCCCGGATTGTCCAGCGCCTGCGCCCCGCGGCCGTCGCCACCATGTCCAAGAGAAAGGCTGAAGGGGATGTTAAGGTACATAAATTCAAGGTGAAGGATGAACCTCAGAGATCAGCTAGGTTATCTGCTAAACCCACTCCTCCAAAACCAGAGTGTAAGCCGAAAAAGGCCCCTGCGAAGAAGGGAGAGAAGGTACCTAAAGGGAAAAGGGGGAAAGCTCATGCTGTCGAGGACGGGATCAGCCCTGCGGAAAATAGAGACGGCAAAACAGACCAGGCACAGATGGCTGAAGGTGCTGGAGATGCCAAGTGAAGTGTGTGCATTTTTGATAACTGTGTACTTCTGGTGACTGTACAGTTTGAAATACTATTTTTTATCGAGTTTTATAAAAACGTGGAATTTTGTTTTACTTTTTTTTTAAAAGCTACGTTGTTAGCACACAGAACACTTCATTGTTGTCTTTTGGGGGGCGGGGCAAATGCCACTAATAGGCTGTCTCCAAAGCTGGATAGAGTGGAAGACAACACCTTGTCCTGCTAGTTTTGAGAGACTCCCTCTGGGTTCCCAGGAGATGGGATTCCCTGACATTGACACATGTTAGCCACCTTGGCACAAACACCTTGTGAGAGAGGAAAAGTACAGCTTTGTTTTTACATCCTCCATACCTTCTCCCTCTCTGCCTTCAGCATAGACTTGACTCCCATAAACCTAGAGACCTGTTGGGACTTGACCTCAAAACAATGGTTGTTAGTATATTGGGCGATCTGGACTTTCCAGTGACGCTATCCTCGTGGCATCCCTCAAAAGAGCAGCACCACCTTTGTTCAGATTGTGGATCTTCAGATTGGTAATTCTGTCATGTTCATTTCATTTTCTGAAAGTCAGGGTTGGCTCGTGAAAAGTTGTTAAAACCACATGCTAAATGTGAAATGTCCACCCTCACTCTAAACTTTCCCCGTTCAGAGCATCACCCTGAGACTTCAGTGGGTTTTACGGTGGCTTTCTGATTTTGGTAGTCCATTGAAGAAGGGAGTTTGAAAGTTGTTATATGCTGTTAACGATCGTCTGCCCATGTCCTGCCTGAATACCATGATTGTTTATGAAAAGTATATTTAATAAAGCTGATACAATTTGGCTTGGGGAAAAAAAAAGATCTTTTCATTAAAAAAAAAGTTTGATGGTTTGACGCCAACAGCTGTTCCACAGAAGAAAAATGAAGCTTGATAAACCTAAAGATATAGAGGTAGATTTTTAGTTCCTTTTTGATTGGAAATTATAATTTTACTGAAAGAAAGCCTTAGTTTGTCACAGTTCATTTTGAATTATTGAAAGTGAAGAAATAGTCTACATTCCATCTAGCAGGTTCTTACATCTTTTACTCGCACTTGCACTTACATTCCATTTATGTTTTTCTTTGTTTCTTTATTTACCCTGGAATTTTTAGATCCCTGTAATTTGATTTGTGTGTGCACATGTACAAGTGTGCATGTTTTAATAGAAAATAAAATAAAAATGTAAACCAAGTGTAGGGTGATTTCCCATTTCTTCCCCATGGTCTTAGGGAATGGAGAGGGTGAAAACCCTATCCTAACCGGCCTAATGGGTATAAAGAGTGGGACTTCACCCTTAGTTAAAAGTTCTCATGGGAGCTGTATGAACTTTTGTATTTAGCAAAATGACTTTGCTTCTTGGATCTGCTAAGATGTTTTGGAAC